CTAAAGAAAGAACCCCAACCCCTAAACCCTAAAGAAAGAACCCTGTCACCTAGACCCTAAAGAAAGAACCCTAAACCCTAAGCCCTAAAGGAACAACCCTGGCACCTAAACCCTAAAGAAAGAACCCTAACCCCTAAACCCTAAAGAAACAACCCTGGCACCTAAACCCTAAAGAAACCCCTAACCCTAAACCCTAAACCCTAAAGAAACAACCCGGGCACCTAGACACTAAAGACTGGGTTCTTGTTAAGGAACTTAATTTAAGTTACCATAATAAGGAAACCCTATTATTTACGATAGATCCCTATTATGGTAACTTAATTTAAGTTCCTTAACAAGAACCCAGGTCTGGCTACAGCTGTGCCAACTGCCGCCGCAGCGCTGCCGCCGCTGCCTGCGGCAGCAGACCTGGGAAGCTCAAGGGTTTAGGGGTTTAGGGTGTAGTTTAGGGGTTTAGGGTTTAGGGTGTAGGGGTTTAGGGGTTTAGGGTTTAGGGGTTTAGGGGTTCAGGGTTTAGGGGTTTGGGGTTTAGGGTTTAATTCAGGGGTTACCGAGGGATCCTGTTCAGGGATGTATCCTTGCAGGGTCGGGGGACTTAAAAAGTATGTAGTACGAAAGTTTTGAGTGTCCCAGAAGGGATCTTGATTTCGGTTGTGATACATATAACTCTATAGAATCTTTGGTTCATGGATTCGAAGGGATCCCTTTTTGGGGTCCAGGGTTCCTTTATGGTTCTATAAGGGCTGAAAAGGGGATTGGCAGGGGGTTGTGGGTTTTGTGGTTTACTGTAGGGCTTTAGTCGAAGGCTCTGGCCTAGGGGCTTCTTGTAGAGTTACTATATGGGTTTCTACGGGGATGTCTAAAACGGTTAGTATAAGGGGTGCTTAACACTTCAGGCGTGTGGGTTTAGGGGTTGGGGGAGGTGTTTAGGGTGCCAGGGGCTTTTAGAAGGGTTCCGCAAAGTACAGGGGTGTACTTGAGGGCTAGGGGTTTGGGGATTTGGGTGTTTGGGCATTGCTGTTGGGGGTGTTCGGGCGTTCACCCCAAGCCCTGCACCCCAGACCAAACCCGCTCATCCCTAAATCCTAAAGCCTAAGCCTGCAACGGTGTAGGGTCCCACGTGATCTTGCAGATGAGCCCAAGGACGCTTCCAGCCTCAGAGCAGCTAACATAGAAGCCTGAATAAGGCCAGCTATAGTACTATTACTACTACTACTACTACTACTACTACTACTACTACTACTACTACTACTACTACTACTACTACTACTACTACTACTACTACTACTACTACTACTACTACTACTACTACTACTACTACTACTACTACTACTACTACTACTCCGACTACTACTACTACTACTACTACTACTACTACTACTACTACTACTACTACTACTACTACTACTACTACTACTACTACTACTACTACTACTACTACATCGCAAATCCTATTCCAATCATGAAGACCTGGACCTAAGGGGTTGCTACAACGGTTTCCACTTTCTACAAAGGTTACGCTAGGGGATTCTATGAGGGATGTACGGTTCCGGGTTTTGGTTTCGGTTTGGTTTAGGGGTTTGGGGTTGAGAGATTACGCTTATGGCACTTTGTTGCTTGTAGACGAGGAAGACCAAGAATCACCTTCGCATCAGGGAAGCAGGTAGGGCGCTGAAAAGGGTTTAGGCGGTTTGGGGTTTAGGGGGTTTAGGGTTTACTGGGGTGTGGGGGGTTAAGGGTTTACGGGCTTTGGATTTTTTCGAGGCATCTAGGACTCAAGTTTAGGATTTTCGCGCTCGGGGTTCATGCAGGGTCTAGGGTTCGAGGCAGACTGATTTTCATTTCAACTTTAGCAACCGCAAGTTTTCTGCAGCTCACTGCGATATGCTGTGTTGTAACCTTAACTGCGTCAAGTAGCTGTGCACACCCGACACCCTACTTGGAGGTTCAGGGGACTTAGTAAGCAGGATTGTTTGCAGTATAAGTAGACATAACTAAAGCTACCTTGCTCATCATCCTACTTACTAAGTCCACTGATGCTCTAAGTGTAGCCTAAAGTCCCCCCAGGAAGACCCCAGAGCCTCCGAAGGCCCCAAAGAGCCCATGAGCGGCAGAGCTCGGAACCCAGAACGCAAGGTTTTGGGGTTTCGGGTTCAGGATCTATGGTTTCAGGTTTAGAGTTTAGAGCCATTAAAACTCATTTCCAACCCTTCAAAACCTAATCCCTAAACCCTAAAACCCTAAACCCTAAACCCTAATCCCTTAAACCCAAAACCCGGAACTCCTTTTCGCCTGCGATGGGCGTACGGCGCGCCTCCGCGCTCGCGCTGCTCCGGGCTGCCTGGGGCTGCAGCTCTTCGCCCAGAATACTTGGCCCTTTGAGGGATCAATACGGGCACAAAAAGGGGTTCCTCAAGGGATCAAGAATACACGAGGGGTACCATAAGGGGTTCCTTAAAGAGATCTATAGGGGTGCAATAAGGGTTTAGGGTTTAGGGTCTACTGAAAGGATCAGGGGACTTGGTAAGTCCCCTGATTTTATTAAGGTAACTTTTGTTATATCTACTTATGACCTTAATCAAGGTACTTATAACCCTACTTACTAAGTCCAATGATCCTCCAAGTGCACTCCCAGAACCCTCCGAGGATTTGGAAAGTAAAATAAGGCATCAATAAATTCAATAGGGTTTTGGGGCATATACTATATAATTGTAATAAGGAACCTAGAATACTAAAGGGGTATTTTTGGGTTTAGGGTTTAGGAGTTTCCGAAAATTAGGGTACCTTATTTGGGGGTCCTTATAATAAGGATCCTACTGTTTAGGGTACTATAGTATCTGTAACTTTTTGGGCCCCCGCTTATAAGAAGACTGAGTCGGGACCTACACTACTGAAGGGTATATGATTTTTGGGGTTTACAGGGAACTCCAGAAAGTTGGAATATGGTTTCAGGGTAGGATACCTTGTAATTTACCATAAAGGGCTTAGGAGAATCATATTCCAACTTTCTGGCTTCTACTGTAGGGTTTAGGGTTTAGGGTTATTGGGCATCCGTAAAGCATCCACTTCTGCGTTCTTGCGGACAGGGGACGCAGTAAGCCGATTCTAAGTACCGTAAGGCACCCAAACTGGCGCTATCCTCCTTATACACCCCAGAACTCCAAAACCCAAACCGCAAAACCCGAAGCCAAGACCTCTAACATCGAGCCCCATACACCCAAAAGGCTAAATTACAAGCTTTCTCTTCTAAGGTTCCTTGTCTCGGGTCCTGGCAAGGACCTTTCAGAAATCCACCCAAATCCTAAACCCTAAACCCCATACTTAGAGAATCAGGGGGCTTAGTCAGCAGGATTATAAGCAAGGTACAAGTAGCTGTAGTTGTATCTACTTGCAGGAACCCTCTGAAAGACCTCTAGTTTTCGCTTTGGATTCACGGGCTTAGGGCTAAGGGTCTAGGAGTTTACGAAAGGGAGCCTTTGGATTGCCTTCATATTCTACTGGGTGCGTTATGGGGCTTCAAATGATTGCAGTCAGAACAAGGAATCCGACCCTACAGAACCCAAAGAGCCCAATACCCCTTAATTCAGGAATACAGCTCAAATTATATGGGGCTTCATATTATGATATAAGCTGTATTCCGGTCAAGAAGAGTGGCGGAAGGACTCTCGGGACTACTTTTGGGGCTCCCTCTCCCCCGTTAAGCATCAGTAAGTAGAAGAACTGTATTCCTCAAGAGGGTACTTATCACCGTGATGATAACCTTCGTACTGAGCCCCCGGATAGTCCGAGTAAACTGCTAAGCTTCAAGCATCCTTTAAACAGACTTGAGAATATCCTGTAGAAACATTCTAAAACCCAGCAATGCGCAGTATAGCCCAACCCACCCTGACAGACCCTATGCAAATCCTACAACATATAACCCCGTACTCCTGAACTTAAACCCCAAACCTTACACTAACCCCTCTCCCGCATCCCAGCCGTGTTTTACACAAATGCTTTTGCTAGCATGGCAAGCAGTGTCCTGCACAAAAACATCGGCGCTGACATCGCTGGCTTCACGACTCACAGCAGGTATGGGTGTTGTGGTACTGCGCAGCCCGGAGCTGCAAAGATTCCTGCGCTGGAGCCGATGCTTCACATGCTTCGAGCTTGCATGAACGGATTGCCTCTTTTCGCACCAGGCGGTCCGGCAGATTCGTTTCGCATGGTGGAGCCGATGACGCACGCAGCTGATATTTCGAAGCTCCGTGACACTGACGGCTCCGGAATCATCGCCGCGGGAGAGGGCGGGCCAATGCTGTGTCCCGCGTGGCAAAGGAACGGCACGTGGATGCAAAATCCACACATCAATCTGCAGCGGCTGCTGAACTCCGCCCAAGGCGGTTCGGTAACGTGGGAGACCGTCTTCGATAGAAAGGACTGCAAGGCGGCGAGCGTGGACATTACCAAAGCCGGCCAGTGCGAGAAATCCCAATGTGACCATTGCGTTCTTCCAACAGCCCTCCGTCTTTAGCAAGTGTCTTCTGATCTGCACTTATAGCGTTGTCGTTTTGCTCGAGCAACTGATTACAAGGTCTGTGCTTCAAAAGCCTTGCTGCCCATGTCGCAGGCGGGCACAAGGTGAGCTGAAGTCTAGCATTGCGCTCGCGCAACGATTTGTTTTCATTCGGGGCCGTCCGTCAAGCCGGCAAGCCGCAATGGCAGCTATTCGAAGAAAGGGTGGTAAGGCCATTCTCGAATGCATCTTCAGTGCTCTGCTCCAGAACTTGAGCCCCAAAACAGACATGCACGAGACATCAGCGCATAAAACTTGGCATTTAACAGCAACGATCCGAGATGCACTACCGTCTCGCTGTTTTCGATTGCAACAAAGAAACGCGGTTTGGAGGATTTCGCACATGGATAAAACAAAAGTGTGTATTGCATCAGGGCCACAGCGACATTGCGCGGCATTCTGGCGGCAGCTTGGCCATCCGTGCTGCAGATCCCTGAAGCAGGCCATGATACCTCTTTGGCCTGGAACAGCCAGAAGCAAAGCAGACGAGTGCTTCGTCGCATCGTCCGAGGAGCAGAGTGAGGAGGCGAACGGCAAAGGCCAGAATAGCAAGAACACAAGAACATGTCGTGTGTACACATGTGCGTGCGCAAGGTCCGGATGGAGACCGAGACATACGCCTGAAACCAACAAATCGGTCCAACACCCTCGGGTCTAAACAGGGCGCGAAAAAGGCTCCAAGCGGGAAGGTGAGCATGAGGAGCCTTTTCGGGATGTGAAAAAAGCGTGCTTGGAGTGCCATGCCCCAGTTGCCTTACCACAACCCTGAAAAACCCCAAAAACCCCAAAACCCCCAAACCCTAAACCCTAAGCCCAAACCTCAGCCTCATCGCCACACAAAGCCCTGAAACCTAAGGCTTCCAGCTCGCGGACCTCTTTCCTTTAGGGAGCCGCCGGGAATTATCTTGGTGGTTTTTTGGGTTTGGCATCATTCTTACGGTGTTTGTGTGATTCGGTTTTGTTGTATGGGTGGGGTTTTATGAGTGTTTGATTCGGTGTTGATTGAGTCTCGGGCTTGCGCAGGTTCAGGTTTTAAGTTTTGGGGTGCTCGAGGCCTTAAACCCTCAGCACTAACCGAAGTCCTGTATCGTTTGGTGTTGTAGCTTTGGGTGTTCAGCTCCCTAGACAAGATGTTGAGATCAGGGACTTTTGGACCTGAAGAAGTCAAGGCACAAGGCTTCGGGCAGCGTTTGGGCCAACGGGGTGCAGGGCTTCGGGTTTCAGCATTTAGGATTTCCATATGAGCGTTGGTTTGAGAATTGGGTGGTTCCGCTTGCTTCGCTTTAGTGGGATTTACTTCCCTGGACGTCAACAAAATCCCAGCTCTGTTGTGCCCAGCGATGCATCGTTATTGTGCAGTTTTATGACAGAGGGGCCGGAATAACTAATCGTCCCCATTAAGGGTCCCTCCCTAAACCCTGAAGCCCTAAAGCAGAACGAAATATGTAAAACTATACTATACGAAAACCCCTGAAGCCCTAATGCCGAAAATAATATACCATAACGAAAGAAGAAGATGAAGCACTAGAGTATCCCATGATATGCTATAACATGCTATAGCTACCTTACTTCTGTCCGGTGCTTAGTAGGGGATGGGGGAATGGGCTCCTATAGCAGTCCCCATATAATCCCCTATAATAGTCCCAATAATCCATTCCCCCATTCCCTACTTAGAGGATCATGGGACTTCCTAAGTAGGGTTAGAAGCGCCGTAGTTAGGGTTATAAGTACATATAACTTTAGTTACCTTACTTACAACCCTACTTACTAAGTGCCCTGATCCTCCAAGTAACCCGTTTTCAGACGTCTCAAAACGCTCCATCCCTAAACCCTAAACAGTATCCCTTTTAGTGCCAGTATTATATAGTATGGCGTAATGTACCCCAAAACCTTTTTCTAATTACTAACGGCCCTACATTACTTCAGAAGGCTTTGCATCACCACCATCCTTCAATTAGGTCATAGGGTCAGAAGGCTCCTTCCCAAGATATCTGTGACATGAAGTAGGGTTGAACAAGGTCTGGGGTTTGCTGTGGGTGAATTGCACACATTTCGGCAGTCATATATCCCTGCAAACACCTCACACTGCCCATCTGTGTTTCATCTTTTCAATGGGGCCGCCAGATCAAGCTTAGATAGGGTTTGGCAAGAGTATGAATGTATACAAGGTTTGTGGAGACTCTTTTGGGTCGTGATGTTGTCGTCCGGTGATGCTGGTAGAAGCACTCTACTGCATACACCAAACGGTAGAAGCCTGAAGAACCTAATGCATCCTAAACAACCGGAAGTTAAACCCCATAAAGAACTTAAACCATCGCAAGCAGTAGAACTCCGGACTTCGTAGGGTTTTTCCTGCAATTTGCTTTCTGGAAGCTAAGGTGTTGTGCACGGCCTAGACCCACGGCATCTTTCCCTGGAGTGTGCCTTGGAACTGCAGGACAATCCGTGGAAGACCCAGTTTCAAATTCAGGAAGACCCTAAACCCTAAACCCCAAACTCTAAGCCCTGAGCCTTAAACGCCGGAACCTGTAAACTCCTAAACCCTAAACCCTCATAGGGTCCGGTTGGCTGACAGGCGGCGAGACCTGCGACTAAGATCCCAAGACTTGGAACCTCTAGAAATTTCACCCCAACAACTCCTGAATCCTCGTCTTTGGAATGCAGCCTTTCATTAAAACGCCTCACAAAATATCCCTCCGTTGATGCAGAAGCCAGAAACTTGAGACATCATTAACCACATGCCGGTAAGCTTTAAAATCCCGAAACCTAAATTATGAGGAATCCCAGCACGAATCATCCTAAATTCCTTTTCCAACTTTCAATCTGAAATCGGTATCGATTTGGGATTGATATAGTACGTCCTTTAATTACTGTTTACTAAGGAGCCCTAATTATGAATATATACGGGGACTGTTGAAATCGACACCTAGTAAAGGGTTTTGGAGTTTCACAGAAAACCCGAAACCCTGAACTGTATCTAAACCGTAAAGCCTTGAAACCCTAAACCCCTAAAAGCCCAAAGCCTTAAAACCCCAAAACCCAAAACGCCCAAAGCCTTAAAACCCTAAAACCCTAGAGCCGTAAAGCCATGAAGCCCTAAAAAACCCTGAAGCCCTGGGTTTTGGAGGAGCTCCTTTAAAATACAGAAACCCTTATAGATCCCTTTGAAGGAACCCTTGAAGGAACCCCTATAGACCCCTTTAAAGGATCCCGTATAAGGAGCCCAAAAGATCCCTTTACAGGAACCATTACAGGATACCCCTTTTAAAGGAACCCTTAAAGGAACCCCCCTTTGAAGGAACCCTTATAGACCCCTTTAAAGGAACCCTTAAAGGATCCCTTTAAAGGAACCCTTAAAGGAACCCCTTTGGATCCCTTTAAAGGAACCCTAGGGGCTCTCTGAGCCCACAGGACGTGGCTGCCCGGCGCGGCGTGCTCATCTTCCCGAGGCGTGGCGCCTGTCGATCTTCAGATCTAGAAGGCTTTAGGGCGGTTTAGGGTTTAGGGTTTAGGGTTTTAGGGTTTAGGGCTTAGGGTTTTAGGGTTTAGGGCTTTAGGGGCTTTAGGGCTTTAAATAGGGCTGTAAATAGGGCTTTAAATAGGGCTTTAGGGGCTTTAAATGGGGCTTTAGCGGTGTAGCGGCTTTAAATGGGGCTTTAGGCTTTTAGGGTTTTAGGGTTTTAGGGTTTTATAGGGTTGTCGGGTTTGCGGGTTTTAGGGTTTTAGGGTTTTAGGGGCTTTAGGGTTGAGGGTTTAGGGTTTAGGGTTTTAGGCTTTAGGGCTTTGGGGTTTTAGGGTTTAGGGTTTTAGGGTTTAGGGCTTTAGGGGCTTTAGCGGCTTTAAATAGGGCTCTAAATGGGGCTTTAGGGGCTTGAAATCGGGCTTTGGGGGTTTAGGGCTTTGGGGATTTAGGGGTTGTTAAATAGGGCTTCGGGGGTTTAGGCTTTTGGGTCTTAATTGGGGCTTTAGGGTTTAGGGGTATTATAGTGGTATAGGGGCTTGGGTTAGGGGTTCAGGGGTTTAGGGTTTTGGGTGTGGGGTTTGGGGTTGAGGGTTGAGGGTTTAGAGCAGAAGCCACAGCAGGTTCCTTGATTGGTGCTTGATTTCCCTTTTTTTCATGTCAAGGGTATGAGGAAATTGATATTTCAACTTTCTGTCTTCCGCAAGTGATTTTGGGGGCCTTGATAATTAGAATAGGGTTTGGGGGCATATTTATATTATAACCAGGATAAGGAACCCTAAACCCTGAACCCTGAACCCTGAACCCCAAACCCTAAACCCCAAACCCTAAACCCTAAGCCGAAACCCTTAAAAGCCCTAAACCCTAGACCCTAAGCCCTAAACCCTAAACTCTAAGCCCTAAAGCCATCAGTCGGGTCTGTTGCCTGACCAAGCAAAAGAAATGGCATACACTACCCTATAGAGTAGAAGAACACCCGCAACGGACAGAAGCGCCGTGATGCGAACCTTTTAACGTGCACAACTTTGAGCCCCGAAATATGCATTTTCCTTATACTCCAGACCTTAGACCGAAGCCTAAGCCCCATTCAGGCTTGCATCCAAACTGCTTGGTTGAGGGTCTCAGAGTGTGGGCACATTTTGCCAAAGTTAGACATATTCGCAAGTCGACCGCCGGGCAGAGATCTACAAAGGCCTGTTGCAAAAGGCTCCAGGGTCCATGGGTGGGGTTGGGAGGATTTGGCGTTTCGGGTGGCAGGGCTTACAGGTTTGGAAGTTTCGATCACATTTGTACTTACCTTAGTAGAAACTTTGATACAGTCATAGAGATGTCTTTCATAACCACAGCAACGTGTCTTATATTTTGATGGGATATTATGGGGGATGTTCTAGGGCATGATCATCCCCATGATCATCACTTTCGCCAATGACCACCATGAGGCCCGACATGGGCCATGTCAAGCCTAAACCCTAAACCGAAAAACCCTGTTAGACATATTAAGGCCCCTACATTGAATCCTTATAATAGCCCTTATAGTAGCCCCAAAAGAGTCCTTGAAAGGAACCCTAGTCTAATTATTAAGTGCAGCCGCGTGGAGGCTCCCGAACCTCACGGGAGCCGAACTTCTGCAGACCCTTGCCAGCAAGCAGCTCCGAGACTCTAAGCGGGGTTTGGGATTTAAGTTTCAGGGTTTAGGGTTTAGGATGGTTTAGGGGTCGGCAGGGGAGGGGTTGGTGTTGTTTTGTATCAGGAGCTTCACGTTTGTTTCAAGAGCTTTTGGAGTTTGGCAGAAAATTCTTCCGGTGCTTCAGGCTGTGTATTTATGCCGTTTCTTGCACATAGAGGGGTCCCTGCACCCTAAACCCAAAACCTCTGAAACCATAGAGGGGTCCTTGCGAGGAGTCAATTGCTCAAGTAAGGGAGTTCGGGATCACTTAAACCCTAAACCCTAAACCCTAAACCTCTCTACCATATAGTAATTTAAACCTTAATGGACTCGTGGCTAATTGATCAAAGCTTCGTGGCTAATTGATCAAAGCTTCGTGGCTAATTGATCAAAACTCGTGGCTAATTGATTTTTCCAGTGTTTAGCGCCGTGTCCAAACTCGTGGCTAATTGATCAAAACTCGTGGCTAATTGATTTTTCCAGTGTTTAGCGGCGTCGGGTTTAGGGGTCCAGTGTTTAGGGGCCTCGGGTTTAGGGCCCTAGTGTTTAGGGTTTAGGGCCTAGGGTTGGGGCACTAGGGTTTAGGGCCTAGGGTTTGGGCCCTAGGGTTTAGGGCCTAGGGTTCGGGCGCTAGGGTTTAGGGCCTAAGGCTTGGGACCTAGGGTTTAGGGCCTCGGGTTTGGGCCTTAGGGTTTAGGCTGTAGCGTTTAGGGCCTAGGGTTTAGGGCCTAGGGTTTGGGCCGTAGGGTTAAAAGTTTGGGCACTAGGGTTTAGGGCCTAGGGTTTTGGGCCCTAGGGTTTAGGGCCTAGGGCCGAGGGTTTGGCACTAGGGTTTAGGGCCTAGGGTTTGGGCCCTTAGGGTTTAGGGCTAGGGTTTGGGCATTAAGGTTTAGGGCCTAGGGTTTGGGAACTAGGGCGAACCGTATGAAAATTCTTGGAATTGTATGTAAGTTATTATTGAATAATTCATGCCAAAAGAAATAAAACTTTTAATTCGAATGTGAGGGGATTCTCTGGGCGGGTGGGGTTTCTTCTTGAAGATAGCTTGACTAAAATAAGCTTGACGTGAAATCTTCAAAGTCAGAGCTGCTGAACCCTAAACCCTAAACCCTGAACCCTAGGCAGGTTTATAGTTCTGGGTTTACCGGTTCAGGGCTTTAGGGTTTAGGGGTTTGTGGCTTTGGGGGTTTAGGGGGTTTGGGGGTTTTGGGGTGTAGTAAGTTGGGGGCTTATGTAGGGTGTAGGGTTTAGTGGTTCAGGTTTCAGGGTCATAAATTTACATACAAACCCTAAACCCTAAACCCTAAACCCTAAACCCTAAACCCTAAACTCTAAACCCTAAACCGTGGTACCACGTTGTAAGGCCCTCAAGTCCGGTTCTCAGTCGTAGAGTCGGTGAGCTTCAGCGTTTGGGATGCGGCGGTACTGTAATCTATGTCATCCCAAAGGTTAAGCTTCAGGTCCCCTGTGATACTGTTGATGATTTAAATCCTGCATTACTTTAAGGACCCTAAACCATGGGAATTATGGTGTATTCCTTATTATGGGTAATGCAGGATTTATATCATCAACCGTATTGCAGAGGAGTGGGTCAGGGAGAAGCGGCCCATCGTGCAGACACTCGGCCAGAAGCGGCAAAAAGAACGAAGGTTCTTTTTCACTTTACCAGTTCTCATGACATGTATTATGAGCAGTCAGGCTTCAAGCTTCTGACGTTAGCGGCCTACGGCGTGAGTGCAAGACCTGAGGATCGACATGATGTGGGGAAAGCGCCACATCTGGTCCCACTTGCCGAGCTGGCAGCAGAAGTGAGGGGCTTTTAGGCCTGAGGTGCCGGCCAGCGCAAACCCTAAACCCTATTGGTTCCTTCCTCGTCAAGTGCCTCGCTTCGAATATGTCTACGACCAGCACCACCGCGGCTTCCCTTCCTACTTCAAGGATCAGGGGGCAAGTAGGTCGTAAGCAGAGCTAGAAGTACCCTGAACCCTAAACCCGAATCCCTAAACCCTAAACCCGAATCCCTAAACCCTAAACCCGAATGGCCTGGGGTCATGCGTCTAGCTTTTAGCTCCACGCCTAGGCCACCCTTCGAAGTCTCCAGGGCCATCCTGGTGCGCTTATGACAGCACTAGCCTTGCATGCCCAGTGGTACCCTTATTCCCTTTTTGTAGTCCTAGGTTCCTTGTAAAGGTACCCAATACCAAAAGGGAGACCTTTTTATTCCTAGGTTACTGGGCATCCTAGTAGCAGAAGCAGCAGCAGCAACAACAGTAACTGCTACTACAACTACAAGTACGACTACAACTACAGGTGTAAGTACAGCTGCAAGCGCCAGTACAATGACAACTAGAGCTACCGCAGCAGCAACCCTTTCTTTGTTACGGTTGCAGTGCTATTCGCGCTTGTGCTAAAGCCCTGAAACCCTAAAGCCCCAAACCGGCCTAAGCCCTACATGGGTGGTTGTCGAGATTATGGTCCTTTTTTGCGGACCCATTATAGTACGGCACTTATTATTTAGGGTGCCCAAAACGGGACCCTAATTTTGTAAACCACTCACATGCCTAGCCGGGTTTTGCTCGCAAGTGCCAAATGCCAGGATCTCACAGAGGTTCGGCAGCGGAGCTTCTTGGGCAGCAAGCTTCCGAGCTCACTTGATTTGGGTAGTTGTCAAAATTAGGGTCCCTTTTTGTACCCTAAATAATAGGTGCCGTATTATACCAGGTACCCAGAAAGGGGACCATAATTGACAAACGCCCAATTTGGAACCCTTAAAAATCTAAACCCTGCAACCCTTGAGCCCTACCCAGAGCCCAATACCCCTTAATTGAGGAATATGGCTTAAATTATGTAGGGCGTCATATTACGATTTAAGCTATATTCCTTATTTAAGGGGTATTGGGCTCTCTGGGTACAGATCCTAATCCCAAAACCCCGACATCTGAAACGGCGCCGCCTTAAACCCTCTTCCTCCGCGTGGCCTGCAGGAGCAGCTTCTAATTGAGGGATTTCAGGGTTCAGGGTTCCGGTTAAAAGTTCAACAGCCGCGGTTTAGGGTTGGGCTTCCCAGAGCCTCCAAAACCTCTTAATTAAGGAGTATACCTTAAATTATAATAGGATCCCTTGTATGATTTAAGGTATATTCCTTAATTAAGGGGTTTTGGAGGCTCTGGGTTCGGGTCTGTAGGATCCCCCAACTTCCTCACTCGGAAGCATTCGATCCTGGACAAACCCACACCCCAGAGACTCCAATATCCCTTAATTAAGGAATATTCCTTGAATCATATAAGGGATCCTACTATAATTTGAGGTATATTCCTAAATTAAGGGATATTGGAGTCTCTGGGAAAGAGCCCAGGAGGTTGTCAGCCGCCACGTCGCCCACCCGGAAAGCCCAGAGGAAGAAATACTCCGCCTATCAAACCAGGCAGGGGTAAAGGGTTGACGGTGTAGGGCTTTGGGCTTAGGGTTTCGAACCCAGAGAGCCCAATACCCCTTTATTAAGGAAAAAGCTTCAAATCAGAATATGAAGCCCTACATATTTTCAGCCATATTCCTTCATTAAGGGGTATCGGGCTCTCTGGGTATCGGGTTTAGCTTTGCGTTTAGGGTTTGGGGTCTGGGGTTTCGGGTTTAGAATGGTTTAGATGGTTTAGGGAAGGATTTAGGGGTGAGGAGTTCGGGTTTATGGTTCCGGGCTTGGGGTCTACCGTAACCCTGAATATCCTACTTTTTAAGGATGCATATAAGGAAATCATAATAAGGAGCCCTAAAAAGGTAGGTTCTTCAGGGTTAAGGTAGGTGACGGAGTCGGCTTAACTATCTCCCCTTGGCCACAGGATCCCTTTTTCGGGGGCTTTGGCTCAAGGATCCCTAAGCCCGAAACCCTAAACCGTGCTTGAAGGAGGGTGGCTCAAGCGGTGAGGATACTGGGGATCAAAAGGGGGATGTTAGGGAGTCGTAGGAGAATTGCCAGGTTACATCCCTTGCCTGGACCTCCTTCCCTCCCAGAAACTCTGAAATCCCTTTAATTAAGGAATACACCTGAATCACATTAAGGATCCTATTTACGGTCGATTCCTCACTGAAGGGATTTTGGAGGTCTCTTTGCTTAAGGATCCCATACTTTGGGTTGGAGGCTCAAGGTTCCTTTGTTTTAGGGTTTAGGGTTCGTAATACCAGGAATGGTTAACCTGGAACCCTAAAGCACAAACCCTAGAATCCTAAACACTAGTCATGAGTACGCTGCCTCAATATCGTGATCCCGGTCTCACCTCCAGCGTCCGGCCCAAATTCTTAGGGGTACATAGAAATACTTTTCAATTTCGGTTCCTAAAGAAACAGAAAAAACTTGTTTTTGCTAGGGGTCTAGGTTCAGTACAGAGTTGCAGATTCCAGAATTCCCTGGCAATAATCATCGGTTTACGGTTTCAAAACCCACTCAAACTAATGACAACGTCCTTCAACTGCAGTAGGTCTCTGTAGGTACCAGCAGGTATGCGTAAGAAACGGCCCGTAATTAAGGGATCCATATTAAGACAGATTCCTTAAATTGTGGCAGGTATCTACAAGAGAAGACCCGCGGCCCTAATGAAGGGATGCTGCAGTCTACGGGACCTCAGCGCCACTCCCGAATTTAAGGGTTGAGTTTGGGGTTTAGGGTTTAGGGTTTAGGGGTTTAGGGTTTAGGGTTAATGTAGATTACTGACTAATCTGCCCTCTCCCTTAACAAGGATTACAATGAAGATCACCCTAAACCCTAATCCTTCAACAAGCTCGACATCCGCAACCCCACACTCTAAACTCAAGCCCCTCAGAAGTTCTCAGTAGGATCAAGAACAGGGCTATGCATCACCCAGGTATAACATATAGGAATGGGAACAAATTGGAAATAGTATCCCCGCAAGTGCCGATTCAGCACGATGCAGTAGTGTAATTTGAAACGCTGCGCGTCGTCCGCCTCGGCCCGGCTGTACGGGCATGCGGCGAGTGGCTAGTATCTGCAGCAAGCTGGTTAGGTTTTCGGTAAAACAGACTTTTGGTCTCAGAAACAGACTTTTTAACACCAGGAACAGATATTCACGCTCACAAACAAATAAAGGGTTTGAGGGTCTTCGGGTTTAGTGGTTCAGGGGTTTAGGGTTGGGGGTTTTGGGCCCTAAGATGTAGGGGTCTAAGGGTCGAGGCTTAGGGGTTTCAGCGTTGATATCTGCTTAGCTCGACAAGCTGCCGCGCAAAAGCCCCAACACATAAAGATGCTACATTGCAGTCCCGTGTCGTCGAAAACTCCACAAAACTCGCACCTGTCAGCGAGCGGAGGGGGGGGCGGGAAGGAAGAAGGGAAGGGAAAGGGAGGGGGGGGGCCGGAGGGGGGGGAGGGGGAGGGGGGGAGAAGGCAGAAACGAAGAAAATTGGGTGGGACTGCCTACAGAAGACCAAAATCCACTGGAGAAGGCGAAAATTCACCGCCGAACCTTGGGGCTCATCGACACGTTTCCATTTTTTAGGGGGGGTGGGGGGGGTTGGCACCTTTTTTGGCGGTGGGGTTAGTGGGGAGGTGGGGAATGAGGAATCCGAATAGGAACCTCTGACCGCTTCGGCCGGGGCCGAGGCGAATATACCCTAAAACAGTGTTCTGATGATTACGGTGCCTATGTTACTAAGTTCGCCGGCCACTTAAACCTTGCCCAGCTCCGGCATCGGTGCAGGCGGCACATGGCGTTGTTGGAGTCGGTCCACAGCGGCTCTGTCGAGAATATCTCGGGTTCAGGGTTTTTGGGTTTTTGGGTTTTAGGGTTTTAGGGTTTTAGGGTTTTAGGGTTTTAGGGTTCAGGGTTTAGGGTTTTAGGGTTTAGGGTTTAGGGTTTGGGGGTCCATTTAAGGCATATTCCTTAATTAAAGTATTTTGGAAGGTCTGGGTAGGTAAGGACCCCATATGCCATCACAGCCTCAGCCCTAAACTGCCAATACCCTAAACGCAGACCCCTCGAACCCTGAAGCTTTGGGCGGCTTTGCCGTCGCCTCCAGCGATTCCGCCACAGCCAAAAAAATCCACACATCAACCAACATGCTACATCAGAAGCTGCCCCCACCCTGTAATAGTGACTATAAGGATTATATCAGGGCCTCATTATATTCCTATTATACCACTATTACAGGGTGGGGGCCCCTTCTAAATGCTACATGAAGTGGCGGATGCTTTGGGACTTTGTGGATGACGCGGCCTTGTGTTTTCTCCCTCTTGGCCGAGGTGCGACTAGAAACCCTGGGCCGTGAACAACAGCATCTCCGCTTCACGATCTTTTATGCCCAGTTTCTCAGGCAGCTCGGACAACCAGGTCGCATCGTACGCGGCGTTCGTTGAGGTTGCCAGGCAGATGCGACTCAACTCATCAAGACCACGGTCGCGCAACTATACCATCATATGCCTCAAAATCATTTACAATTTATGCAGGCCAACAGAGTATTCAAAACAATGCATGTTGCTTGCGATTTGGAGGGGCTGTCGAACCCAGAGACTCCAATGTCCCTTAATTAAGGAATATTTTTCTTAAATTGTAGTAGGACCCCTAATATGATTTGGACCCCTAATATGATTTAAGGAATATTCCTTAATTAAGGGATATTGGTCTCTCTGGGAGTGCTTCGGTTGCCTTGCGCGTGCCGAAATCCAACTGTTCCCAGCACAGCAGCATGGGTTTAGGGTTTAGGGGTTTAGGGTTTAGGGGTTTAGGGTTTAGGGGTTTAGGGTTTAGGGGTTTAGGGTTTAGGGGTTTAGGGTTTAGGGGTTTAGGGTTTAGGGGTTTAGGGTTTAGGGGTTTAGGGGTTTAGGGTTTAGGTTTTACAGGACTTAGGGTTTCGAGTTTAGGGGTTTACGCTTGGGGTTTAGGTGCAGGCAGCCCAGCACAAACCACTGGCAGAATGTTGGACTGCGTCGCAGGTGCATGAAATAGCTTCTCTCCTGCATGCTATCCCAGAGAGCCCAATACCCCTTAATTAATTAAGGAATATGGCTGAAACTATATAGGGCTTCATATTATGATTTAAGCTATATTCCTTAATTAGGGGATATTGGGCTCTCTGGGTCTGCTATCGTTTGGCTAAACCCTAAGCCCTAGGGGCCCTGGACCCTAAACCCTGAGTCCCACATCCTAAGCCCTAAACCCTGGCAAGCGTTTCGGGTTTGGGGTTCAAGGTCTTAAGGGTTTAGGGTTTGGGGTTTAGGGTTTAGGGTTCAGGGTTCAGGGTTTAGGGTTTGGGGTTTGGGGTTGGGGTTTGGGGTTTAGGGTTCAGGGTTCAAGGGTGAGGGTTGAGGGTTGTAGGGTTTTTAGGGGTTACGGGTTTAGGGTTCAGGCGTTTGTGCCGGCTTGCCGTAGCGGGAGGCTCGCGCCCACGCAGTATTCATTGCCACGACCACCAACATGCAAGAAAGCCGCCTAGGACCTAGGATATTTATGAACTCTAACCCTAAACTTAGAAAAGCCCCAAACCCTAAACTATAGTCTCCTTAGGAATTATTTTTAAATGTTGGTTCATATAAAACCCAAGAGAATATTAAACATACTATTTTTATTGTGGTTCTAAGGAGGGTATTAGTAAAGCTTAAAGCCAAAACCTAAACCGTTAAATCTGAAACCCCAAACCCCTAAACCTCCGATCCCCAAAGTCCTAAAGCCAGAAACCCCAAATCCTGCACATTTTCCGGGCTTAGACAAAGCCCCACACCTTTTGAACCCGAAGGTTCGGTTTAGGGTTTAGGGTTTAGGCACGGTGATGAGGACTCTCTCAACCCAAGACCCTAAACCCCTAAAGCCTGAGCCGAAACCTGCGATGAGGTGGCACCACGACGGGAGCACAGAGCGACGTGTCTTCAGCTGCTGGGCAGGGTTGGACTAGGGGTGGTTACATTATCCTATTCCGCTTGGGGTTTAGGTTTCAGAGCTCGTGTTACATGTATGTAATGTAGTGCAACGTATTGTAATGTATTCTGTTGCATTGTATTTCGTATTGTATTGTATTGTAAAATTGAAAAACTGTAACTGTAATGTGTTCTGTTGGATTGTTGGATTGTAATGTATTGTGATGCAATTGAGAAGTGTAAAGCAATGCAAGGTAATCTAGTGTAGTGTAATGTTATGTCAGGGTATGCTAGGCTATAATATGCCACGCCATGTTACGTTGTAATGCTTGGTCATGTTGTTTTATGGCCGTGTGCCTGCATGTCTGCCTGCGTGGGAACCAGTGTTTTTTTTGCTTTTTGCTGCGTGTGCCGGGCCAGCAAAATAGCGCATGCTGTACCCGCAACAAAAGCGTCCCGCCTGCTGCAACAAGAAAGAGCACACCTGGGCACACGCAGCAGCAGAATCCCACCCTAAAGCCTTTAAAGTACCCGGTTAGATCCCTTATAGTAACCTATAGGAGCCCTGGAAAGGAACCCTTAAACCCTAAACCCCTTGAAGTACCCTTATAGATCCCTTAAAGTAATCCTATATGAGACCTTACAAGGAACCCCTAACCCCCCAAAAAACAAGACGCGGCCCCCGCAGCTGCAGCCAAAAAGCACCCACAACAAAGAAGCAGCATCTCGTAGCCTCCCTGCGTGTGTATGTATGCTTGTAACTGTATGTATTAGAAGCTGCCCCCACCCTGTGCTCGTGGTATAATAGGAATATAATGGGGCCCTAATATAATCCTATATAATCCTTATAGTCACTATTACAGGGTGGGGGCAGCTTGTAATGTATGTATGCATCGAATTTGTTTATCTGTTTATACCTAATCCCTACTAAACCACCACAGGCTAAAACGCCTTTTCACCTCCTATGACTTTACTTGGAGGATCATGGGACTTAGTAAGTAGGGTTATAAGTACCTTGATTAAGGTTGTAAGTAGATATAACTATAGTTACCTTACTTATAACCCTACTTACTAAGTCCCCTGATCCTTTAGGTACGGGTTCGGGGGTCGGGCCGCAGGCCGGTTTGTGGCTCCAGACCATTCGTGGAAGCCAGGGGTGGCATCCTATCAGGGAACCCCATCAGGGCTTACGTGCATAGATTGATAAGTACACAGATAGATAGACAGATAGGCAGATTCACAGATGGACAGATAAACCGTTCCCGTTATAGGGTTCATATTAAGGAATCCCTACCCCAAGAATCTTAAACCCCCCCTTTTTGGCCTCCCATCATAAAGAAATACTGGGACCGCCCCCGCGACATTTGGTCCTTTCTCTCGTAAAGCTTTTCTCGCAGGATCTTCTTTACTATAGGGGCTTAAACAGTTACCAATACTATTTTGGTGGGTCCTTTTTATAGTTATAGTATAAAGGGTCCCAAGACCCTATTCTAATTATTAAGGCCCCGATGGTAGACACTTTTTGCAGAGGGTTGAAGGGACCATCTGGTCCCAGTTCCACTTTCGAGGGAGTCGTGGGCTGCTCAGGCCACCTGCTGTTCCATGCGCAGCAGATGCCGGCGACGGGGGGAGAGACGGATTTCGCGGACCTCGCAGCTCAGCTCTTAAAAGCATCGCCGGTGGTTATGAAAGATACTGGCCTTAACCCTAAGCCCTTGTGGTGAGCCCCAGATGGTTGGCTTGCGTGTTGAGATTCCGCCCTGCTGAGAAAGGGTTGCCCTTGGAAGAGCATGAGGATGTGCTATGCACGGAATGACAGTGTGGCTTTCGCTGTCGTTCTTACTTTGCTTGTTGTGACTTTGTTGTCTCCGTAGTGGTAATATCTGCACCCCATGGTGCCATGTGACAACGCCTTATGTAAATGCCAAATAGAACCTCACAAGAACCTTTTAATCAATCTTAACTGCAAGCTGTTCCCGAACACCTTCCAGGAAAGAACATAGGGCCATAGTGACATCGTGGACCCAAAACTTTATCCAAACACTCCTCCCAACACCCCCGCTCACAAGGACAAATACAAAAGAACGTGTTGATGGCGAACCTGGCCATTTCGTCTCAGGCTGCAGCCTACGAAGCTTTGCCGACAGACCTCCAGGCAGAACGGCATAAGGCGTCGGGTTTAGGCGGAAGAACCTTGAGGTTGGGCTGTAGGGTCATAAATAGAGTAGTGATGCTAGCCTTAGTTTGGGATTCAGGGTTTAGTCGAGTTTCGGGTTCAGGGCCAGCTGAAGCCATCCAGATCCTCCTGCTTTTGGTCCGTCTTGCAGAGGCTAGTGAGTTTTTTCTTTCGCATACTCGCAGCAATAGACTAGTTATGCACCCTTGTCCCAAACCTGTTACACCTGGATTATGACCTAGGCCTCCAACCTGAATCTGGGATTGCTTGTTGCATCTCTGTCTGAAACCTCTAGCTAAACCTCAACTCACAATCGCATTGAACTATACACGGCCAGGTTTCCTGAATATGCCCCTCGTCAACCCTGCTGCCCTCAATGCGAGTGGGTTCGTATTTCGGGAAGCTGCAGACTATGCAAGTCGGCTAGGAATAGGGTTTATTGTAAAAGCCAGAAAGTTGGAATATGATTATCCTAAACCCTTTATGGTAAATTATAGGTTATCCTACTCTGAAACCATATTCCAACTTTTTGGAGCTCCCTTTAGGTTTCAGGGTTAAAGTTTTATGTAGGTTCGGGCTTCAAGGCCCAAGGTTTGGGGCTTAGGGTTTGGGGTTTAGGGTTTAGGGTTTAGGGTTTAGGGTTTAGGGCTTAGGGTTTAGGGTTTAGGGTTTCCTGGTTTGGGGTACCTACAACCCTAGTTTTAGTCCACTAAGTTCCATGATCTTGTAAGTGAGCACCCGGGCTCCTTCATTCAAGGCAGTTGACAGGGTTTCGGCATTTTGGCGTGCACGAAAATGCGTCGAGCTAAACCCTAAACTCTGCCTTACACTATTTTGGGGGGTTCCTTAATATAATTATAGTATACTGGGTCCCAAAGCCCTATTCTAATTATTAAGGGCCCTATCTTATAGTACTCTTATAGTATCCCTTATAGTAGCCCCTATGTAGACCCTTTTAAAGGGATCCCACTCTAGTTATTCAGGCCCCGTTTTACATGCGAGTGAAGTTTAGCCATCAGGAGGTTCATGCCGCAGGCTCGAGAATTGCCACCCAGCCCGAGATGCTCCCCCGCTTGGAGCCAGAGTGCCCAGGCTTTCCGGCACGTGCAGATGGAGATCCGAGACTCCATCCAGAAGAAGCTCAAGGCGGTGGAAGACGAGAAGAAGAAGAAGGCACGAATAGAAAAGGCGAAGAGCACCGCGTGAAATCAACAATCCGAGCCAGCGCGAGCGGGACCATCTCCTCGCCTTAGTTTCCGAAACTCGTGCTCGGATCGAGGCGGGGACGCCGAACCCCGATGACTCTCAGCTCGTCGAACTCTACTTCCGAGCATTGCGAGCGTCAGAAGGGAATGTCCGTGAGGTCCTTGGACTGTCACGTGAGCCTTCAGCTCCATCGCGACCAGAAGGGGTCCGCGGCCAGCTGCTGGGGTTTAAGGTTGGGAGTCAGGGTTAACAGACTTCAAGGTTCAAGGTTTAGGGTGTAAGGTCAAGTCCTTCAGCTTCAAAGTTTGGCTAGGCTTGAGGCACGAGGACACTAAACCTTGGGTACTGCCCCCAATCAGTAACAGTTGGAAAATATTCATAATATAGATATATTAGGACCTTAATAGTAGCCCTACTATAGACTGTTACTGTATGGGGGCAGTACCCAAACTAAACCTGAAACCCCTTCATGGCCCCTAGTGTAGGAACCTGATTAAGAAACCCTGGCCCCATAATCCCAATATAGTAGGATTCATACAAGGAACCCTAATAAAGGCCCAAGGCTTCTTAATCAGGTTCCTACATCTTTTATAGTAGCCTTATAGATCCTTTAGGAACCCTTATAGGAACCCTTATAGATCCCTTTGAAGGAACCCTAAAGAAAGGCCCAAGGTTTTTTTAATCAGGTTCCGACATTATAGTACCCTTATAGACCCCGTACAGGAACCCTTTTTTGATCCCTTTGAAGGAACCCTCAAGAAAGGCCCAAGGTTTCTTAATCAGGTTCCTACATTTTTTATAGTAGTCTTATAGATCCCTTATAGGAGCCCTTATAGGAACCCTTATAGGAACCCTTATAGATCCCTTTGAAGGAACTAAGAAAGGCCCGAGGTTCATGGCTAAAAAAGTGCGCAGGAGCGCTGGTCCCAGCTGGCGTCGGTGAACGCATATTCCGGCTCCTGGGCTGGCAGTACTTAGAGGATCAAGGGATCTAGTAACGGTTTAGGGTTTAGGGTTTAGGGGTTTAGGGGTTTAGGGGTTTAGGGTTTAGGGTTTAGGGCTGGCAGTACTTAGACGGTTGATGATAAAAATCTTGCATTGCCCATAATAAGGAATATACCATAATTCCCATAGTTTAGGGTTCTTAAGGCAATGCAGGATTTATATCATCAACAGGAGGATCAAGGGATTTAGTAACGGTTTAGGGTTTAGGGTTTAGGGGTTTAGGGTTTAGGGATCTATTGGGGTACTTTATCTAAGGGTGTATGGTTTAGGGTCTACTTAGAGGATCAAGGGACTAAGTAAGGTTTCCTGTAAGGTTTAGGGTTTGGGGTTTAGGGATCTATTGGGGTACTCTATCCAAGGGTGCATGGTTTAGGGTCTACTTAGAGGATCAAGGGACTGAGTAAGGGTTCCTTAAAGGTTTAGGGTTTAGGGTTTAGGGATCTATTGGGGCACTCTATCTAAAGGTGTATGGTTTAGGGTCTACTTAGAGGATCAAGGGACTTTGTAAGTACAGGGTTATAAGGCTATCAGGACTGTAATGAGGGAAGGAGATGTAACTATAATTGCCTTACCTACTTAGAGGATCGTGGGAGTGAGTAAGTGGGGGGTTTAGGGTTCCTTTCAGGGATCTGCTGGGGTACCCTAAGGGCTTATGGCTTAGGGTCTACTTGGAGGCTCGTGGGAGTGAGTAAGTAGGGTTATATGGAATTCAATGAGGGAAACAGGTAGAACTATAGTTACTTTACTTGTAACTTAGTACTTACTAAGTTTGCTGATTATTTAAATAAGGCCACGATCCATTTTGAGCAAGGTCTGTACGGGGCACATGAGCAAAGACGGAGCCCGTTTTAGGGTCAAGGATTAGCGCCCTAAGCCCTAAAGCCTACACCCTGTGCCCAATTCCCCCAGCCTGAATCCCTAAACACTAAACCCCTAAACCCCTAAACCCTAAGCCCTAGACCCAACAGTCGACAGTCGAAACGAGGTTCAGCAGCAGTTGAAAGGACGTCTGGAGGAGCTCCATGAAGAAAGCAGTGGCCTGAATAGACGCTTACGTCATTCCTCGGATTTCCTTAGTAATCCTTAATATGCTCATCATGATACTACAACGTGCCCGCGATCGTATCGTAATTAGTGATGTGTACCCTTTCATACAACAGCTTAAATGACTAGCAAAATATTCCTGCGTGTTCCTTATTATAACTACACCATACAGGAGCCGAAAACCCTTTCCCAATTAGCAAGGCCGGTATACCATGCGGGTGGGTGGTTGCACGCACACATGTACGCTGCTGAATCAGCAGTCTGCGCTACCCAGAGCCTCCAAAATCCCTTAATTAAGAGATATACCTTACATTATAATCGGATCCCTTATATAATTTAAGGTATATTCCCTAATTAAGGGGTTTTGGAGGCTCTGGGTACATGCTTTCAAGCAGCAGGCCCCGTGGATGTTCTTGAGGCTTCCGCGCGAAAGACGCACAGGGCGCAGAATCGGGGCCCGTTTCTGCTGCCCAGAAGTCTGCAGTTTGCGGTGTTCGACAATGACCGGGACCTCAAGGCTACCTGGTTCACATACCAGGTTCATGCCATGATTGTGCATCATGGTAGCCTACACTCGGGTCGGGTCACTACACCGTGCTACTGCCTGAGGGGGTGGCTACTGCAAATACGACGATGCAAAACCAGTCGTCGCAGCAGATGATGCCGACCAAAAGCATGCCCCCTGCAATGTGTACTCGCTTCTGCTTGTGAGTGATGCAAGCCTTCGTGCATCACAGATCCTTGAAGCTCATTTTGTTGTGGGGTGTTCATATTAACATTGAAGACTTACAAGATCATGGTGCTTACTTAGTAAGTCGCGGTATAAGTAATAAGTCCACTATTGGTAGGAAAGACTTGCTGAAGACATGTTTGAGTTCAGTTATAGTGTACATGAAAGCTTCAGATAGACGACGGGGGAAACCAAGCAGATAAAACGCTACAGATCCCTATAAGTCCTGATAAAGGAACTCTGTGAACGCCACCTGTTATTGGGGGTCACATGGGGACTACTATAGGGATCCATTCCCCCATGCCCTACCCTTCAGGTGCTGTCCACCCACTGGTTCACCGCCACCCAATCTCTGGAAGGAAGGCATTGGGCGGCGTGGTTTCGACTTCGGATAAAAGGAGCTCCATGGGGGTTTCGTAGGGGTTGGGGTTCCCATAATAGGTATATATTAAGGAATCCCTACCCCAAGAATCTTAACCCACCCTTTGGCCTCCCATCATAGGAAGGCCCCGTATAGTAACTCGCTTCTGCAGTGCCGTGCACCCTGGTTGCGGATTGAGGGAACAACGATTTCTCTCCTGACGTGCTCCAGGCACTAGGAGCATGTCATAAGGGCCTCAATAATTACCACGGTGATGCCGCAGAATGTACCGCAAAACCCTATTCTAACTGTAGAATGTCAGTGTATAGATTTGTGCAGCTGACTACATTTCTCGCATGAACTGCTGAGGCGCATGGCCCAAAGCCGTGGAGGGCCTCACAACTTATGTAGGACATGCCATGTCGTCATGCTGTAGCAGGCTAAATCAAGCCGTAGAAGCAGCTCGTGACGTTGGTAGTGTGAGTGCCAAAAAGATTCGCGTGCGCTGTCCCATGGTCCCTCTGAAACCACGGAGCCTTTGTTGAGGACTCGAAGAGGTAAGAGAACCATG